AGAGAACCGGAGGCTTATTTCGGATTTTATGATCGTTTTTGTTATTCAAAATTTTGACGCTATGTGGGGGAGGTACCAGAAGGAATGGTCCGATCTCTACCATCTCTGTAAGAGATCTTGTGTTGATGAAAATATTAAAAAGTACCAAGTCTGAATGGAATCGGATGTTAATTTCCCGTTTTATGAGCTTCATGGATACTCAAAATTTTGACCCTTTGTGGGGGAGGTACCAGAAGGAGTGGACCGATATGTTTCATATTCACAGCAGATCTTGTGCTAATAGAAATAATGGGATGTGTGAAATATGAACAGAATAGGATGCTTATTTCGGATTTTACGATCGTATTTTGTTATTCAAAACTTCGACCCTTTATGGGGGAGGTACCAGAAGGAAAGGTCCGATCTCTACCATCTTTATAACAGATCTAGTGTTGATGGAAATATTGAGATGCACCCAGTCTGAATGGAATCGGATAATAATTTCGTCTTTTATAAGCTTCGTAGATATTCAAAATTTTGATCCTTTGTGGGGGAGGTACCAGAAGGCGTGGACCGATATATCCCATCTTCACACCAGACCTTAGGTTAATAAAAATATTGTGATGTGCGTAATTTGGAGACAATCGGACTCTTACACCCAATCTTATAAGAGTTATAAGTATTCAAAATGTTAACCCTTTGTGGGGGAGGTACTGGATGGAGTGGACAAATATATCCCATATTCACAACAGATCTTGTGTTAGTAGAAATAATGGGTTGTGTGAAATGCGAAGAGAACCGGATGCTTATTTCGCATTTTATGATCGTTTTTGTTATTCGAAACTTTGACCCTTTGTGTGGGAGGTACCGGAAGGAAAGGTCCGGCCTCTACTATCTCTATAACAGATCTTGTGTTGATGGAAATATTGAGATATGCCATGTCTGAATGGAATCGAATGTTAATTTCGTGTTTTATGAGCTTCATGAATATTCCGAATTCTGACTCTTTGTGGGGGAGGTACCAGAAGGAGTGGTCCGATATAGTCCATCTTCATACCAGACCTTGGGTTAATAAAAACATTGTGATGTGTGTAATTTGAAGACAATCGGACACTTACATCACATTTTATAAGAGTTAAAATTATTCAAAATGTTGACCCTTTGTGGGGGAGGTACTTGATGGAGTGAATCGATAGTGTCCATTTTCGCACCTGACCTAGCACTGACGTAAATATTAAGATTTGCAAAGTTGGAGCAAAATCGGATTTTCGTTTCTCTTTCTGTGCGGTAAATTATTTTCTTGGAAAATGTTGACATTTTGTGGGGGAGGTGCCACAAGGAGTGGCCCGATATTGCCCATCTCCCAACTCGATCTAAGTTTGACAAAAATATTACGATATACCAAGTTTGGATCAAATCGAATACTCCCTTCGAGAGTTATCGTGCGCACCAGCCAGCCGGCCAGACAGACGGACGGATATCGCTAGATCGACTACAAATGTCCTGAAACGGATTTGATCCAAAGAGAGGCATCTTTTGGCGTTTTAAATGATATAAACCCTCTCGAGCCATATGGCTGCGGGTATAATAACATAACTAATCATCGATACAAATATCCTCAATCACATTCAGGCAAAGGGACTATCGGTTCTAAACCAAATTTTGGAATATCAAAAATTTAGATCAACACGAAAACACCTTTTATAATAATAATTTTACATGTGGCTTCTGCCAATGAATTTTCAGGTAAAACTGGCCAAATTTTTGTGTTTCTCCCTTCAGTAGCCAATAAAGTTAATGTGTATAATTTCCAGCAGGAAAATCCAATGTGTTTTCCCCTCAAAAATCCAATCAATATGCCGGAGTGCTGACATTACTGAAAATTTCCAATTGAGATTAATGAGTCCTGCTTAGTTGAGGGAAGAAAAAACGTTTCCATTTCATTAAAAATTTAAATTGGTTGTTGCCTGGCGTCTGGGTAAATAAATAATCAATGCTAATGAAATCTAATGAAGCGCACACGAAGCTTATTATTTTTCTTTAGCCCGCATTCGAAAAATCTCTCTCCCACAAATTATCCTCGTAAACGGAAATTTTACACATTAAATTTACATTACCGGTCAATCCAGATAATTGGAAATGACTGATTACGAGTACTTATTTATTTGTCCTACTTGAAATTTCCATATTGGATTAATTAAATATTTTTGAGAATCTGTTTTCCAATTTCCATGAAAAACTTCCCATTTTTTGCCAACTGGGGGTCTCAAGTTTAATTTAAGATTTTGTCTTCATAACTCATAGATATTGACTATTAAGTGCCCACTCGGCAGCGAAAATTCCATCTTAAAATTTTAGACTCCTTTCAGAAAAGATCGCGTTGGTCCTTTTTATACCCTACACCACAAGGTGACCAGGGTATTATGGTTTTGTGCATTTGTTTGTAACAGGCAAAAGGAAACGAGATAGACCAATAGTTCCTTTTGATGATCTGCATAGAATCACATTCTGAGTCGATTTATGCATGTCCGTCCGTCCGTCATTTCGTCCGTCCGTCTGTCCCTCCGTCCGTCCCTCTGTCCATGTATTTTTGTAAACAAAGTACAGGTCGCATTTCTTGCCCGATCCAGATGAAATTTTGCACAGATCATTTGTTTGGTCCAAGGACGAACCCTAACGAAATTGGAGATAATCGGTCAAAATTTAGATATAGCTCCCATATATATCTTCGTCCGATTTGCCTTTTATTGTGCACCAAACGTGTAATATCCGGCCGAATAGTATGGAATTTTACACATACAACCAAATTACGACTGAAAATAAGTATGCCAAATTTTATCGAAATCGGTTCAGATATAGCCATAGCTCCCATATATATTGTTCATCCGATTTGTTATAGCTGTCCTCCGCAGCCGTAATATGCACTCTGCAACAACAATATTTGGGGAAATATATCAAATACAGCTCAGAAATATCTTTGCCAAATTTTATTCAGATCGGTTCAGATTTGGATATAGCTCCCATATATAACTTCGTCCGATTTACCTTTTATTGTGCACCAAACGTGTAATATACGGCCGAATTGTATGGAATTTTGCACACACAACCAGATAAGGCCTGACAACAAGTATGCCAAATTTGATCGAAATCGGTTCAGATATAGCCATAGCTCCCATATATATTGTTCATCCGATTTGTTATAGCTGTCCTCCGCAGCCGTAATATGCACTCTGTAACAACAATATTTGGGGAAATATATCAAATACAGCTCAGATATACATTTGCCAAATTTTATCGAGATCGGTTCAGATTTGGATATATCTCCCATATCTATCTTCGTCCGATTTACCATTTATTGTGCACCAAACGTTTAATATTTGTCTAAATGGGGTGGAATTTGGTACTTACGACCGAATTGAGTCTAGAAGCTAGTATGTCAAATTTGGTGAAGATCGGTTCAGATATAGCTATAGCTTTCATATATATTGTTCATCCGATTTGTTATATTTGTTACCCACAACCGTAATATTCACTCCGTAACAACGTTATTCAGGGAAATATGTATATCAAATACAGCTCAGAAATATATTTTCCAAATTTTATCAAGATCCGTTCAGATTTGGATATAGCTCCCATATATATTAAATGGGCAACATACAAGTCCAAATTTAAAAGATACAAATGCTTCGGCATATTCAGTCTTTTGAACTTTAAATTATAATTATAATCATAGCGTGTATAATTGAATTCTCCCATAAAAACTTTTAATTGTTTTGTGTGAGCTCTACTAAATTAGCAAAGTGGTGGTGGTAGGGTATCATAAAGTCTTTGAGACTTTCTATACTGGTTTTTGTTTAACAAATGCATTATTTGCAAACATTTTGTTGACAAACTGTGCTTTTTCGGCATCTCTGACCTTGGAGATCACTGTAACCAGGGGTGCTCAAAAAGAAATATCTCTTTTCAGTCAAATTTCTCTTTGCTTATTTAAATCAAGAACAAAATAGTGTTAAGTCATTATTTAGACAAATATTTTTTATCCATTTGCTTTATAAATTGTTTTGGCAAACATTCTTGTTTAAAAAGAAAAAATAAATGGAATCGTAAAATATAAAGAAAAACAGAATTTTGATTTTCTCTTAAATTATCTCTTTTTTCGACTCATGTTCTAGAACACGGTTATGAACAGGGCTGCTGTAACCAACGTAGTTGCAATTATTTGTATAATTCTCTCCTATTTTTAAATACATATAAGAATTCCCCAATCAGACTCGACTGTACTACTCTCTTTCCATCTACCATCCCTCACTCCCTCTCTCTCTCCCCCTCTTAATATATTTCTTCCATTCTCCTCAACTTCCCGTTTAAAAAAGAGTTAATTGAATTCGTTTTTACGACACTCTCAATATCAAATTACTTCCCGCTAGTAATGTGGACTAGTTCGGCACCGTATACTCGTCAATTCTTAGGGTTACAGTAACTAGTTCCACTTAAGACCCCTCACAGTGCGAACAACTGTAAACTTTAACATGGGGATGTCATACGAGGTAACCAATTGACTCCTTTTGCATTACCTGTAGATGGTACTGTACTAGTTCCAGGTTTACAGTCATATACCAGAGACAAAAGACTAACCCCTACCTAGTTCCAAGTATACAGCCATATACTAGTGTCAGCAGACTACCCCCTATCTAGTTCTATGTATACAATCATGTACTAGTGTCATTTGACTATCCCCTATCTAGTATAAGCAGACCGATTCTAAACTAGTTTCCAATGAACTAGTTCAGTGCCAATTATTGTTAGTGAAATGATAATTTTTAGTTTTAATACATTTTTTATTTGAAACATAAACGAATAGAAATATACGTTACTCTATAAAAACACAAATAAATTAAATTCAAAAAATTGGCACATGTTTATCTGATTTTTAAAACCATATTTACATAGTTAATATAAAAACAAAACAAATTCAATATTTATAAAATAAAGTTAATGGTAATATTTCATTAACTATTCTGCTTTTCTCTCAGCACTCACTTGTTTAAAAAATCGTTTCTTTTGCACATGTATTGCTTTTCGCAGTTGCGTTTCAGGGGTGTCTGAATTTTCTTGAACTGGTATTGAATCTGCAAAAAAATAATGTTTAATGTATACAATTATGTAGAATATAGTAATATTTTTTATATACCTTACCTAAAATTACGTTATATATATTGCTTAGGGACTTCAAACTTTTTTTCCATGATTTCCGTCAATATTATATTCGTAAGTAATTTTTAAACCTATAATATTTTTTAATGATTTCAATATTCCCTCTCTTTTTATGATGGATGATATAATCTTAACCTGAAAATTAACAAAATATTTGTATATAATCTGTCTTCACTAAGAAAAGAATTTAAAAATACTTACATATAGATCTTTATTCTCACTTGTGATGTCGTTATTAATTTCAATAAGATCTTTCTCAGTGCTGATGGGAAACCTATTCGTTAAAGGTATCTCATCACTTTGAGATCGAAGTAATTTTTGCACCATCACCTTCAATTCAGCTAATGCATCAGCTAAAACCTTGATCTGACCTATAGTGAAAACAAAGAAACAAATTAACAATTTGCAACAATTCTAAGAAAAATGACATAATTTTACCTTGAATTACTTTTTGAGTATTTTCCACATTTTCCATCTTTTTAACAAAAGTTTCGCAATTGCACTTTTGATTGAGACCATATGCAAAATAGAAAAATAATAATAGTGAATTAATTAGGAAATTATTTAAGATTATTAATTACTTACCATTGTTTATAATTGAACTGAAACGTTTAATTTTTCTGGGTGTTTCTTCCATTTTAAAATAAAAACTAAAAAAAAACTAAAGAAAATGAATTTCATGTATATAATAACAAAAAATTAATTTAACAATCCAATTAATAAAAAGAAAAGGAGGTGTGCAATAAAGGCAGTATAACTAGTTTGCTATTGTAGGGTAAAACTACTAGTTTACACTCTAAATCGGTTATGGGAAAGAGTTCTTCGCGGCACGATGGCTCTGAGTCCACTACGCTTATACCCAAGTCTAATGAATCACGGGGTTCGTTAAAAAAACTTTGTGGATTTGTGTACCTGCGACCCAATAAAAACCCCTCTTGGCAATCGCGGAACGTTACAATCTGTATAGGAATAGAAGATCTTATGTAGGCGGCATTGTTTGGAAAACGTGTAGTTAGAGTACAATTTTTAAATATGTATTTATTATTTTCTACATTTAGAATTGGAGTACTATTTCCTGAATTTAGTTCAAATGTTTCTTCTACAGAATACCTATAAATTTGTTCTTAAATGTTCCTCGGACTTTTTATATATTTCTTTAATTTTTGAAGGTAGTTCTCGAAAGGATAAGATGATCCACTTGTAGGATCTCCAACTATATTAATAGATTTTTCCAAATGTAGCAAGGAATGTACATTATATGAAATACTATTTTCACCAAATACTATAGCAAAGTTTTCAACAAATATATTAAGCATATTTTGAGCAGTTTCCAGATTTATCGGTCTTCGTTTTGGACAACAAATTATTCTATACGAACAATGTAATAATAAAAAAAAATAATACACATCTTCGTGTACGACATTCTTTAAGACAATAATTCCATTATATAAAATAAATTGCCGAAATTCAGTTGCCTTCCAATTCGATAATTCGTCCAATGATCTGGGTTTACGACAGAACTCTTTAATGCTATATTTTCGAATATTAGACAAGGACTCGGATATGTTCGAAATGGCTTCCTTGGAAATTTTAATATTACTTTTATTATTTATAAGTCTTATAAGGAATTTTCTCACAACACCTAAATCTATTAGGTGCATAACATCTAATATAACTTGTGTAACCATTTTTACACCAATACTCTCAAGAGGGGAATTTCTTGAAAGGTATTTTGTTTGGTGAAAGTTTGTATATTTTCTAGAAGCGAAATCTTCATCACTGATTAACATCGCATATTGAGCTGTATGTTAATGTCCCGTTTATTTTTTTTCCAACCTGTGTACATTTTGCACAACCGTATCGTGATGTATGAGACGGGACACCGGTTATAAAAGCTCTTGCAGGAGTATCACAAATTATAGCACGAATATTTATAGTGTATGTGAGACCTCCAATTTCTAGACCATATTCTGTAGAATGTGCCATTTCTTCTTGAAATTGACGTAAATATGTGTCCAGGTCTTGTGGTTTAGTTTTGCCTAAAAAAACTCCAACCGGTAAAACATAACATTTAGGTGCATTTGTAGTTTTAACTAAGATCGGCCAAATTTGAGTTTTTGAGCTATTAAAAAGTGGAAGCCCGTCTATATTCACATCAATGGTTATATTTTGAGGCAAAGAAATACAATTAGAAAGTTTTAAAAGCTGTGATCTAACCCCAATATGAATATAAGTTCCACCTGCAATACTTTCTATTAAAGGCCTTGATGGACAATAAAAATTAGGGTTGAAAGAGATACTAACACCTTCTTCTCTTAAAATTGAAACTAGATCTTGCACACAATTTCTAGACGGTCTGTGTTTTTTAAACCATTGCTCAAATTTTAAATTAAATTGCCCGGCTTGGTTAAAGTCTTCTTCTTCCACTAAAATATGTGGAGATATTGGTCTGATATTTTCTGAAGGTTCCTCAATAGAATAATTATGTGGGGTTACCTCTGAGACAACATTATCAATTTTTTTAATCAAAGATTCCTTTTCTTTCCTTACTCTACGTCTAAATTGTCTTTTGCTACTCATTCTTACCTTTTTATTTGTTATTTTAATCACTTTATATTAACACAATTTTCACAATGCAACTTCACTTTACAACGATCAAAATAAGAATGATTTTTTCCAAACAAAACGCACGTGCATTCCTCAAGAATAACTGTTCATTGTTTTTTGTTGATCATCTAAACAAAAAACTATCCAAAGTGATTCTTGTTCGTAGAGATCTCATTCAAATGTTCGTTTAACTTGTCTGTTGGTTGGTTTTTTGGTGGTGGTTTTTTATTTATGCACAACTGTCGCCTCTTCGTTTACTTGGGGACGAAAAGGTGTCAATTGGTTCCATTCGCATTACTTGGGGACACATTTGGTACTAGTACGGCTTATAACTAGTACAAGACTGACGAAATTTAGTTAATTGGAATTTTCATTGCTAGCGGGTTATTTATGCATGTGTCAATCTCTCTTAAAGTGATTGCACATTGTCTCGGATGAATGTGTTTGTGTGTTACTTCGTCTGAGACGAGGTCGGTTGACGAGGTTCTTCTTCTTCGGTTGCAACAAAACAAAAGTGGAATTACAAAACAAACACTTTTCTAATTCATTCATAACCCCTTTTGCTATGACAAAACACAACCCAGGAGAGAGAGATGTGGGGGGAGAGCAAATCATTTCAGTGTCTCTCCCCCACCATAACACACATTAGAGCAACGGCAACAAGAACACCAACAACAATCAGCAACAAACAAACAACGACAATCATGAACAATTTAAGGGATAAAAACGTGAATCCATTTGAAATGCTAGACTAAAATGATGTGAATGACGATGGAGAAACAGAAGAAGGGGAAGAAGTAGAAATGGAAATGGAACAAGTGGAATTGTCACAGCAGCTCCCTGTGCACTCTGATGGCCCTGATGTAACAAAATGCATTTCTCTCGTCTCTGCATCCCAAACTCCAGATTCAAACGAAATGGAAATAATGTTTTCATTGGAAACCAAAAAACAAAAAAAAAAACAAAAAAAAAAAAGCGAGTCATTGTACACTAAGGCAAGGGTGGGAGAGGTAGAGGAGTGCAACTAGTCAGGGAGTAGAGTTGAAGGGAATTGTTGTTAAGTACAGTAGGGTAAAGGAGTTTCTCCTTCTCCTCCACCACGTATGCATGTGGGTAGCACACACACCAAGTGCAGTGTGTGTTATAGTTTTGGGATAAGAGTGTGTCAACACCACAGGGTGCCTGCCAGTCAGTCAGGGTAGCTTCATTTTCCTCTATGAAAGTTGCTTGTTTTTACAGAAGCGACAGCAGCACCAACCGCCTCAAATTATACAGGCAGGCGGCACATGCTGCTCTCCCTTTTATTTTTCTGTGAAATGAAGATTGAGTTCACGTGTGTGTGTGTTTGGTGTATCTGTGTTTTGATGAAACTGCAACACTGATAAAAATCACTCGTTCAAATAAAATTGTAGTTTATTTTATGCTTCGCTGATGAGACTAAGGGACATTTGTCAACGATATGGGTAACACATGGAAGGGAGCGTGAGTGAGATTGCAACAAAAACAACAACAGCAAAAACAAAAATAAAAGGAATTTATTTTAATTGGTACAGTGGCTCAAAGGGGAATAAATGGGAGTTATAAAAAATACTACTATTACAAAATGTCTATTAAAAAATGTCTAAAATCTTATATAGCCAAAGAACTAAGATGGGCCTAACTCCAGTCTAGTAAAAAGTCTCAGATTTTTTTTTAATTTTTTCCACAGGTAGGTATTTTTAATTATGATTCTCGGAAAGTATTTTTTTCTTGGGGGGACGGACCCGTATACCCGGATATTTGACCCAAAGGTCAAGATCCAAGTCCCAGGTTAGAACGCTAATAAAATACCTATCCAATCACTTGTTTAGAACGGTTCGTCAGTTGTATCAAAATAATTGATTTTTTGCTAAGGAGGGTATAATATATGATTTGATACGGCCAAAACGTGCCTTATCGAAATAACAATTTTAGACCCTAGGTCTCTTTGGACCAAATACGTTTCAGGACATTTGGAGTCGATCTAGCGATGTCCGTCCGGCTGGCTGATGCACACGATGACTCTCGCAGGGAGTATGCGAAGTTGGTCCAAAACTTGGTACATCGTAATATTATTTTCAAAATTATATCGAGTTCGCAAATGGGCAATATCGGTCCATTTCTTCTGCTACCTCCGAAGATCGACATTTTCAAAAAAGTATATATTTTACTGCACAGAAAGAGAAATGATAATCCGATTTTGCTCCAACTTTGCAAATCCTAATATTTGCATCAGTGCTGGGTTAGGTGCGAAAATGGACAAAATCGATTCACTCAATCAAGTACCTTCAAAATTTTGAATAATTAAAACTCTTATAAAATGTGATGTAAGAGTCCGACAGTCCTCAAATTACACACATCACAATATTTTTAGTTAGCCAAAGTCTGGTGTGAAGATGGAAAATATCGGTCCACTCCTAATGGTACCTCACTCACAAAGAGTCTAAGTTTTGAATAACCAAAACGATTATAAAATACGAAATAAATAACATTGCCTGAGGGTATACATCTGTCGGCAGAACCGATCGATACTTTTTAACTTATGTTCTGGAGCAGGGTAAAATTCTAAAACTATTTAGCGATAGATGGATACAATTTGGCACACATATGTGATTTGCCAATCACCGATATTCGGTGTATTCCCGATATTTTGACGATTTCAGCGACACTATTCACCGGAATTGTTTCAAACTTGGTATTTGCAGATCTTATTGGATACTACAGCCTATGACAAAAAATTGCTTATGTAGGTCCACGTCTTCGCATAGCCCCCACATAACAGTACGACATTATTCACCCGAATTATTTCAAATTTCGTAGTGGAAGCTTGTAATGGGTGCTACAGCCTATTTCGAAAAATTTCGTATGCAGGTCCACCCGGCCCGGCCTAACATATCTACTTTTTTATTTATTTTTTTTAATCTCAACTACCACAGTCTATAAAAAAAAAACAGTAAAGAAAGTCTTAAAGTCGGTCGGGGCCGACTTTATGATACCCTACACCACTTTGGTAATTCAGTAGAGCTCCACATAACAATTAAAAAATTTGATGGGAGAATTTAATCATACACGCTATGATTATAATTACAATTGGAATTTTTCAATGTCGGACTTGTATTGCCCATTTGATGCAATTAATTTGAAATCGGATAAAGATATATATGGGAGCTATATTCAAATCTGAACCGATCTCCATTAAATTTTGCAAATATATTTCCTAGCTGCATTTGATATATTTACTGAATATCGTTGTTACGGAGTGCATATTACGGCTGTGGGTAACAAATATAACAAATCGGATATATAACAATATATATGGGAACTATAGCTATATCTGAACCGATCTTCATCAAATTTGGCATACTGGCTTCTAGACTTCATTCGGTCACATGTGCCGAGAATTCCATCCCATTTGGGCAAATGTTAGACGTTTGGTGCACAATAAATGGTAAATCGGACGAAGTTATATATGGGAGCTATATCCAAATCTGAACCGATCTCGATAAAATTTAGCAAAGGTATTTCTGAGCTGTATTTGACATATTTCCCCAAATAATGTTGTTACAGAGTGCATATTACGGCTGCGGAGGACAGCTATAACAAATCGGATGAACAATATATATTGCAGCAATAGCTATATCTGAACCGATTTCGATCAAATTTGGCATACTTATTTTTAGGCCTAATATGATTGTATGTGCAAAATTTCATAATATTCGGGTTGATATTACACGTTTGGTGCACAATAAAAGGCAAATCGGACGAAGATATATATGGAAGCTATATCTAAATTTTTCACCGATTATCTCCAATTTCAATAGGGTTCGTCCTTGGGCCAAAAAAATATTGTTTGGAAAATTTCATCTCAATCGGATAATAAATGCGACTTGCATTTTGTTCACAAGAATACATGGACAGACGGACGGACAGACGGACGGACGGACAGACGGACGGACGGACAGACGGACGGACTGACGGACTGACATGCATAAATCAACTCAGAAAGTGATTCTATGGAGATCCTCAAAAGTAACTATGGGTCTATGTCGTTTCCGTTTCCATGTTACAAACAAATGCACAAAGACATAATACCCTTACCACTATGTGGTGTAGGGTATAAAAACTGACGATTTGAACGATAATATGACTCCATATCTCATAACAATTTAATGAAATGGAATGCTGTCATCTCTAAGAATGATTATGGAGACAATGGTGACGACAGACAGCGTTGACGAACTAAAAAAAATTGGCACGCAACAATAGCTACAAAAATTCAAATTAACAAAAATTGTGACCCACCAAAAAGAAGAACAACTGCGAGGATGATTATGGTGATGGTGGTGCAGGGTGGGGTAGTAATGAAATGATTGTATCCGTTTCGTATTTATGTAGTCGAGTGTACGAAACACCCGATACCTAATAATCATAATAATAGGCCGGCTAGGCAAGCAAATGCATTGTGCCCATTGGATGGATGGATGGTTGGAGTAATAATCTGGGAAGTTGGAAGTTGGTGGTGGATCGTTTGCTTGGTTGGTGCAACAAATGGGAAATGCGTCGTTGGCATTTATTGAGGCCATGAGCGTGGCACGCGTGCTAAATACCCAAACAACCCACCAACCACTCTCCGAACTCATACCCTCATCCAACAATTCAACCCAACCAACGATGTAGAAAATGAGCTGTCATTACTTTTGTTGTCGTTTTCGTTGTTGTTGTTGTTGCTTTTTGTTTTATAAATACATGCATCAGCATTATCTGAACATTTAAAATTGTTGCTTTGTTTTTGTTTTTTCGCTGTTGTTGTCGTTTTCTTTTCTAATTTGTTAAGAACAGTAGTATTAATTGTAATTAACAATTCTCTCATGCAAACACACTCACACACATACATTTTTCTATGGTTGTAGATTTTTTTTTTTTTTTTTTTTTTTTGATTCAATTAAACAAACAATGGACTTGCAAAAAATGTAAAACTTGAGAAAAAAACACTCTGAGTTTGTGAAAAGTTGTGTCAATTTGCCGCATAGTTCCGGGTCAATTTTTGTTGCCGCAGGTTTTGAGAAAAAATATTTTAAATAAAATTAACATTAATTAAAACATAATTATATGAAATTGGAGCTCAGCATAAAGAATTTGTTTAAATTTTTTCAAGTGACAAGTGATGTCGAAGTTGGTTCTCTTTATGACAGAAAAATTTTATTGACCTCTGAGGTCATCTTTTTCAACAACTGAAAACCAATGCCTTTAAATACAAGCTCTAAGAAAATGAGGAATAAGGCACAGGAGATTTATTGACCTCTGAGGTCATCTTTTTCAACAACTGAAAACCAATGCCTTTAAATACAAGCTCTAAGAAAATGAGGAATAAGGCACAGGAGATTTAAAGGGTGATTTTTAAGGCATTTTCCTTTTGGAAACAATAGTTTAAACAGTTCACACACAGTTCGGTTTTGCTTCACTGTCAAACTGTTTCCATTTAGTCTATAATTTAACCGTGAATCGTCTTATTTTGACAAAAATCCAAGAGCTTGACTTGCATGACACACGGGTAACAATGGACTTCTTGAGAGGCGATTTCGGTGAAGGTATTTAGATGGAAAACCAAAAAAGGCTATCGTTAGGGCACTCCGGCATTTAAATGTGAAGAAATCTTCTGTATCTACCATCGCTCGGTACGTCAAATAAGTGGACAAAAGAAAACAGCAACATCGGCAGAAATACTTCGAATAATGAAGAAGCGACTTGATCGAAACCCGCATCGCAGTGGCCGAAAAATGGCTCGTGAGCTGAACATATCGCAATATTCCATTCGGCAAATACTGAGAAATGAGCTCGGGATAAAGCCATTGAAATTTCAAAAAGTGCAAGAACTTACACCGCAACGGAAAGA